GTTCTTCCCATCTGGTAGATCTAGCTCCCAAGTGTTTGTTTTCAATAATGCTCTCATTTCTTTATCCATAGCTTCCTTCCGTTTGGGGTCAACAACAACCTCTGAGAACGTAGGAGTAAAAACATAAGACAATGCACAAACGAAAGAGTGATAGGTAGGAGACAAATGAGAATACGAGACAAATATATTTATAGGATGGAGAGGCAAGATCGAACTGGTTTCCGCAAAGCAATGGGAAGATCGGGATCAAGACTAGTGGATGTAGTGGGAGCAACCATACCTTGACCAGAATCCAATTGGTTGCAATCATGAACTAGCAAGTCTCTCTTTCTTTTCCTTTGATAAACACTTACATCACAATGGTTAGGAGTAGTCACTTCTTTGGCTTCTTCATCACAATGGTTAGGAGCAGTGACATCTTCATCAACTGGACAAGTAGACTCAATAGGTTCAGAAGGAATTGGATCAGGAGGAGCAATTGGAAGAGGAGTAGGAGCAGGAACAAAAGGATTAACCCCCTAGGAAGTCTCTTCCACCCCATTAGTCTCTCCTTGAAGGGGATTTTGAGGAGGGTCAAAAAAGGATCGAGTCTCATGAAGGGTGAAGTCTTTTGTAATGAACTTCCTCCTAGTAATTGGATTTAGACACTTGTATCCCTTTTGTGTAGGAGAATAGCCTAAAAACACCCCTTGGATTGCCTTTGGATCTAGCTTTGTCCTTTTAGGATCCTTGATATGAATGAAACACACACAACCAAAGACCTTTGGGGGTAAGGAAAAAGTAGGTTGATTTGGACACAAAAGAGAAAAAGGAGCCTTCATACCCCAAACTCTAGTCAGTATCCTGTTTATGAGATAAGATGCAATGAGAACAGCATGAGACCAGAATTTCTTTGGCACCTTGTTTTGAAACAAGAGAGCACGAGCAATTTCCAATAGATGTCTATTTTTCCTCTCTGCAACTCCATTCTGTTGTGGAGTGAAGCTGCAAGAGGACTGATGTAAAGTTCCCTCATCTTCAAAAAATACATTTAGAGAATTCTTGAAGTATTCTCCTGCATTATCAGAACGGAATTGTTTAATCTTATTCCCAGACCGATTCTCAATCATTTTATAGAAAACCATGGTGATTCTAGGTACTTCCTCTCTTCCTTTCATCAAGTCAATCCAAGTACATCTTGTAAAGTGGTCAATAAAACTGATAAAGTAACGATAACCATCCATAGAAGTAATGGGTGAAGGACCCAACACATTGGAATGAATCAAATCAAAAGGAGCATTAACTTCATTATTAGAGTTCGGATCGCTTGTTCTACAATGTTTAGACAACTGACACACTTCACAAAATAGACTCTCAATTGACACATTTTGAAATAATTTTGGAAACAAGACTCTTAACAAGGTAAAAGATAAATGACCCAATCTAGTATGCCAAAGATAGATGGTAGCATTAGACTCCTTGCATTCCCCAATGTGACTTGTTGAAGCTTGATGAGCTGAAATGATATCTTCATTGAGGTAGTAGAGACCACCAGCCTCATGACCACTCCCAATCGTTTGCCTCGTCAGCTGATCCTAGAAAACACAATGTATGGGGGAAAAGGTCACAATACAATCCAAGTCTTTGGTGATCTTAGAAACTGAAAGCAAATTTGCAGTAAAGTTTGGAACATGCAAAACAGATTTAAGAGGAATATCCTTTCCAAGTTGGATATCCCCTTTTCCATGAATAAGGGAAAGAGAACCATCAACAACTCTTACTTTATCTTGCCCAGAACCAAGACGATAAGATGAGAAATAGGAAGAATTGTTTGTCATATGTTCAAGGCACCTGAGTCAATCACCCAAGGGTCATTCGGATGAGACTGAATAGCAGTAAGGGCAGAAAACATACCTGTCTTAGCAAAGGATGAGGAAGGAATAGTGGATTGTTTGAATTGAGTCATAGCTCGATTTAGAATGTCTACCTCTGCTGCTGTAAATTCAGGGAAGCTGCTTGGGAAAGTAGTGGTCTGTCCCATACACGAAGAAGCACTCGAGGTGATAGGCTTTTGCAATTCATCCACCAGATTTGAACTTGCTACATGTCCATAAGGTCTTGGACCTTTATTCAGCTTTTTCTCCTTCCTAAGAGCTGCTGGTTTAAGGTGAGGATGCAAGACCTAGCAGGTTTCTTTGGTATGTCTCTCTCCCCCACAACGAGAGCACTTCAGATTTCTTTTATCTCCTCCTTTCCCTCCTTTTTGTGTGGTTGAAACAAGTGCTGAATGTTCACCCAGCTGTGGAGGGGCTTCTACCTTCATTTCTTTTCTCTGGATCTCCTCATTTCTAATTAAGTAGAAACATGCTGCAAAGAGGGAAGTTAATCTCTCCCCAAGATCTAAGAACTGATGCTCTCATAAGAAGAGTTGAGTCCAGCAAGAAATTTGAATACTCTCATTTCCTCAGTTTGCTTTCGGTGCATTTTTTGGTCCTCAGAGTTCTTCCAATCAAAAACAAGATGATGATCAAGCTCTTCCCAAAGCCCCTCAAGAGTAGCAAAGTAAGTTGCAACTGATAAACTTCCTTGAGTCAAGGTTGTAATGTCTTGTGTCATTCTAAAAATTCTTGCATTGTTTTTCCTTTGTCCATAGGTGGTAGATAATTTTTCCCAAATCTTATGAGCTGTAGGATAGTGTTGGACTGTTCTAGCAATCTTTGGTGTCATGGAAGATAACAGCCATGTCATAACAAGTGCATTTTTTTTTCTATCCAAGTTCCATATGTAGGTTCTTCCTTCTTAGGTTCTTTGACTTGTCCATCTATGTACCCTAGTAAACCACGACTTGTGATGTGAAGTTTTGCAGAAATGGAGCACTCCTTGAAGTTGTATTCATCTAGTTTCACATCAGTGATCTGAAGATTTGGGAAGCTAGTGTTCTCCATGTTGAATAAGCTTTCACTTGGCTGACTTTCCTTGGAGGTTATGTCACTAGAGTTTGAGAACATAATGAACTGTTTCTGATGTGAAATTTCACCCAAAAAACAGAAGAGAACAATCTGTACTACTGGCCTGTAGACTGGAGAAACTCCTACACAAAACAACAGGACAAAAGTAGAGGAACTTGGGCTGCAACACAAAACAAACACCTGGTCTGCAACCAGACACTGTTCAGCTTCTAAAAAATTGAAGTAGAGGGCAACAACCTGTACTTCACTCCCACTCTGATGGGAGCCTCTAACCGAACATAAAAAGTCTTCCACAAAGACATCTAAAAACCTTCTTGGACTGCACCTTCCTGCAGTTCAAAATCTTAACCTGCTTACTGCAGGTTACTGTAGTAGTCCAGAGACTACTCACAGCTTGTCTTGCCCTATTGGAGCATTACCGAACTTTTAGGTTCCCTTGGATCTTCTCCCAAGGGAAAACCCAAGAAAGCAACTGGGTTTAGAGCACCACAAGCAGAACTAGGGTTTCTTTAACACCCTAAGTAAAGAAAATGAAAAATAACAGAACAGTATATAAGATTTTGAATCAGTGGTTAGGATAGTATCAATGCTCTGATACCATGTCTGTATTTGTCTGTATTCAGTTCTATACAAGAAGAAGAAGAGAATAGAAGAAAAAGAGGTTTAGAAGAAATGGGCGGCACCTCTCTCCAGCCCTCCAAGACAACTTTTATACTAGGGCAATAAGAAAGAGATACAATGACAAATCGGCCCCTGATTAGTAGGAGGTAAGAAAAACATAAAAACAAAGTAGGCCCAGGCCCATTTAGCCCAGGAAGGAAGTTATACAAGTAAATGTCATTGACATAACATAAATAGGCTCAAGCCCACAATGCTAGGCTACACAACACCTCTCCAGTAATACTGAATACCTATACAAGGATGTCATATCAAGTTGATGCTCCAGCTTTGTCTTGTCCATATCTGGGTCATGGGTTAAAATATCCATACATTTCCTAATATTTCCATGACATATTTCCATTCTATGGGTACCAACATAAAATATTACCAACATAAAGTATTATGACATAGTTGATGATGATACTGTAGATATATGGAGTAGAGATATTATTGCCTGCCTAATGGGCATGATTACTTCTTTGAGCAAAGCCCAAAATTCTTTCAATCATGAAGTCAAATCTTTATTATGCTTTGCTTAATAAATTATTTGGGTGATCTATTAGAACCACTTGCATTTTCTATGAGTTTAAATTTTGCTTGAACTCACTCTATCATGTAGTTTACAGGACAACTTCTCAATGTATTATTTTGTCTACTAAACTTAGATTTTTTAGATTTGTTTGATGGTTGGGAACAGGGCAGTAATTTAAAAGGGTGTACCCATGCTTTTATCATTTCATAAAATATCATTCTATATGCTCACATATTTCACAATGTGTGTACCATGTATATGAATTTTATATTATTTCCATATGACATTTCCAACATGTTTCCTATATTTTGATGATCGATATATTATCCACTGACACTAACATTCTTAAACCTTTCTCTGGGTAACATAGTCTCTCCCTTTGCAAAACCTGCAGCTATAGAACAGCTGATCTAGGACTTGACTTGAACAAGATTTTCACACCTAAAAAATCCAAGGGTCGAAATAAAATAGATGAATGCCTTCCAGGAGGTATATGTAGGAAATAAGTTGAGGGTGATGACCCTGAAACTAGAGGAAGCCCTCACCCAAATTCATAATTCCATTAACCAAATGAAATCTCCATATCATGGAAACTTGAGAGAAATGCAACAGCTCCAAATCGGGGAACCTTAAGTCTTTGAACACAATGCTTCTTTGTACTCACATTTTATGGTATAAAACCTTGAACTCCTCTAGATCCATTATAGGAGGCCCAACGAATGATACATTTTTTTTATGTTAACCTTTTCTGTGTTTTAATCTCTTTTACAGTTTAGACTGGAAGTCTAACTATCCAAAACACACCCTTAGCCAACTATGGCTTATCCATGATTACTAATCTGTTGTTGCTTTTGTTCTAGATTGGCATGAACTCCATATAAACTGTGGTGGGAAAGAAATAACTATAGGTGATATTACATATCAAGCTGATCAAGAAGCAGGTGGTCCTGCAACATTTTTCCAAAGTAAATATGACTGGGCATTTAGCAGCACTGGTTACTACCCGGATGATGGCATCACTGCAGATGAGTATACGAAAACAACTACATCAAGACCCTTGAACAATCCTGAAAACTCTGAATTGCACATGTCAGCACGTCTTTCCCCACTCTCTCTCACATACTATGGATACTGTTTGCTAAATGGAAGCTACACTGTGAGGCTCCACTTTGCAGAGATCATATTTACAAATGGAAGAAATTATAGTAGTCTGGGAAGGCGAATCTTCAATGTTTATATTCAGGTAGCTTTTATTCAATTACATTTTAAGATGTTCATTCAATATCTTATATGATTCTAATTGTAACTTGTGTAATGCAGGGAAGATTGGTGCTGAAGGATTTCAACATAGCAGATGCAGCAGGTGGAATTGGCAAGGCAATCAATAAAACTTTTAGCCCAGTTAATGTGACAACTGGTACTTTAGAAATCCGCTTCTATTGGGCTGGGAAGGGGACAACTGTAATCCCTTCTAGTGGTGTTTTTGGTCCTCTAATATCAGCCATCTCCATGGAGCCTAGTGAGTCGAATACTTTTCCAGAGGTCTTGTTCTAATAAGCTTTTCTCTGTACTGTCTGACATGAGTAACATATGTCATAAATATTCTGTTCATCATCAAGTGTGAAAAAAAATGACAATGGAACATGGGCTACTAAAATTAGTGATTTATATTGACGAATAGGGTAAACCTAATTGGTTTTTGTATGCTTTCCTTATTGTTTAACTTGTTTGCTTGTGTCAATGAAATACTTTTACAAAATTGGTTTGCCACATCCTGTTAACTTGATAGTTGTGTTTTTCATCTATCTCCAATATGTTAAGCGTGGAATATTGTTTCTTCATGCAGACTTTGTACCTCCTTCAGAAGGTGGGAAGAAGAAATCAGCAGGTGTCATAGCTGGAATCATAGTTTCAGTCGTGGCCCTTGTCTTTATGGTTCTGGGTACCATTTGGTGGAGAGGCTGTCAAAGACACAAAAGCACAATGGACCAAGGTGGGAGAACCCATATACAAATCCTATCAAAAGAATGAAATTAATCATTTCATGAAGGGGGAGAGGGATATACTTAATAAAAAAAAAGGAGACTTCTCTTGCTTAATGTCATAAACAACTAATAACTTATTTACAAAGTAGTGAACTTTAAAATAGAATAATCACCTGATGAAATTATACATATTGTACACACATGAACTACTGACATATAAAATTTAATTAAAAATTAAATGATTAGAAAAGTTGGCTTTATATGTTCATCATTTGTGGTTCATACTCTGCTTATCATTAATATCCCACTGACATGATGTTGTTCCTTGTGAATGTGGATCCCTAGTGAAAACTCAAGCATAGAATGCAAGTTAGTTACAAAAATCTATTGTATTCTAAGCCATATTTCTTATCCGGCTTAGCTGCTTTGACAGACTTGAGAGGTCTAGACATGCAAACTGGCTCCTTTACATTGAGGCAAATAAAAGCTGCCACAAACAACTTTGATTCCACAAACAAGATAGGAGAAGGTGGTTTTGGGTCTGTGTACAAGGTATATTTTACAATCTACATAAGAACCCACAATCTTGGTTGATCACTCTTTCAGCATACATCTCTTCCTTGTAAATGTCAGATAGAAGAAACTGTATGTTGTTTACTTGTTACTCAATTGCAGGGTCATTTATCAGATGGAACCATAATAGCAGTTAAGCAGCTTTCTTCAAAATCAAAGCAAGGAAATCGGGAATTTGTCAATGAGATAGGCATGATTTCTGCTCTGCAACATCCACATCTTGTAAAGCTTTATGGATGCTGTATTGAAGGAAATCAGTTGTTACTAGTATATGAATTCATGGAAAATAACAGCCTTTCTCATGCCTTGTTTGGTAAGATCAATGATTTTGTGTTCCTCTGATTTCTTTTCCTTTGCTCTCCTCTTTCATTTACTTTTTTTTTTTTTTCTTAGGGACCAATATTGTATCTAAAATCTAACATTTTACTTTCTGATTTGGGTTAATTTGATGATATGAAGATCCAGAAAAATGCCAACTAAAATTGGACTGGCGAACTAGGCAGAAAATCTGTATTGGGATAGCAAGAGGTTTGGCTTTTCTCCATGAAGAATCAAGATTGAAGATTGTTCACCGAGATATCAAAGCTACTAATATACTTCTTGACAAGGATCTTAACCCTAAGATAGCTGATTTTGGCTTGGCCAAGCTTTATGAAGAGGAGAATACTCACATAAGTACTCGAGTTGCTGGAACCTTGTGAGTTCATATACTCTACTCTGCCTATAAGTCATAATTGATGTCTGTGGGCATTTTCTATGTCTGAGAAAAAAAATTAGGAAGTGGAAAAATCCACAACATGAAATTCCTGAATTTCCCTGAATGGCTACCAGTTACAGCAACCAGAGCAGTTCAGTTTCTAATTCTTGTTACATTTTAGAACTGAGTGCTATTATGTTAGATTTTGGGATTTAAAAGACACATTATTATTTTTTCAACTTGGACCATGGCGATTTTCTGCACTTATTGCACTAAACCAATTTGTAATGGCCTGACAAGTGTTCCATTTCATGTGTGCGAAGACATTTATATGAGAGTAAGTACACCTGCCATATAGTGATTGCTTAGTGCATTTAGTGCAGGGAACATGTAAGTATATGAAATGTATCTTGAAGTTTATAGGAGGGAATAGAGAAACTGCACCTTTTCCTTTTATAATTAATATCATTTAATAAAATTTATATTTTAGTGTGATTCAAAAGCATTTTGTCAATTTCAATAATACCCAATTAGTTATTATTATTTGATCAGTCCAGATCTGAAGCCACCTATTTCATATCTGGGCCTTAACCCAACCAGACCCTAGGGCCTGATACTGATGCAGGTAGTGGGGTCTGGGTCTGGATGTATATGGACCTGCCCCAAATCTGACATGTCAGCATGCCCTGTTAAGTAGAATTTCATGAGAACAATTTTTGCAGTATAAGCAATATTACCCTACTTTTCATGGGTTACTCTAATCTCTGTAGGGGAAATATAATGTGTTAATCCTGAATTTTCAGTGGATATATGGCACCAGAGTATGCAATGAAGGGTTACTTGACAAACAAAGCAGATGTTTACAGTTTTGGAGTTGTTGCCTTGGAAATTGTCAGTGGGAAGAGAAATACTTCTTTCAAGCCACAGGAGGAATTTATTGATCTTCTTGATTGGGTAATTGTGATTTTTGATTTATCCAAAAAAAAATATTTCTATGTTTCTTTTTCATCATTCAGGACATCTAGATGTTTTTGTTTCATCCTTTTTTTTTTTTTTACTTTTTTTTCTTAATAATGTCTAGGCCCTTATCCTGAAAGACCAAGGAAGTTTGTTGGATCTAGTGGATCCAAGGTTGGGATTGGAATTCAACAAGGATGAGGCTATGAAGATGATTAATGTGGCTCTGTTATGCACTAATACATGTGCGCCACTAAGGCCTACTATGTCTGCTGTGGTGGGCATGCTTGAAGGCCAAGCCTCTGTCACAGAGTTTGTATCAGATACAAGTATCTCCAGTGTGGAGTGGAGGTTTAAAACTATGATGAACCATTATTCACAGGTTCAGGATCATCCGAGCATCAGCGTGAGCCAGACTCAGAGTATGTTGGGCGGATCATGGAGTGGGTCCTCTATGTCAGCTCAAGCCTACCAATATGGATCCCAAATATTGGAAGAACAGAGAGCAGTGCATGATGGGTGATTGGATGTACCTGACATGTATATATATGGTGTATATTTTCCTCATTTTTTATATGCTAATTAGATACATGGAATTCCATCATGAAAAACAACCGTATTCAAGTTTTGGCTACTAAATGAAAATCGTCTTTAGACTCGGTCCATTTTACCAATAAACAAATGTATATTTGATATAAATAATAAAGGTCTTTTTTGTCTCTATTTAGATTGTACTAGTGTTCTCAAACCAACCACATAGAAGCATCAGAAGCAATTGGAGGAAATACTAGTCTTTCGGGTAACAAGGGGACAAATTAGTTAGAAAAACTGGTCTTTTGGGTTTTCAAGCATGCCTATGGTTTTCCTATGGTGACAGTAGCCCTCCAAACTTCCTTGTTGTAGGAGACTGGAGTCAAGCACTAAAGTGGTCTGTGTGAAAGACGGCAGAAGGCATGTATGTATGTATGTATATAGTTTTTTGAGCTTGAGTGGGATAAGGTTGGGCTGGGCTCACATTGCCTAAGGGCTAGGCCTAGGCCTGACCTCAAAAATTAAGAAAGCCTAAACATTTAGGCCTGGGCTCCACCCAATGACTGAAAATCCAAGCCCAACCCATGTAAATTTGTAGGCTGGGTTGGTTCAGACTCGGGCTGGGCTTGCTCAAATTGCACCCTTGGATATAGATCCTCTTTTAGTGTAGACACCTACTAAATATGAGTCCATTAGTTTGATTCCAATATGGATCCATATGTTATACAACAGTTGTAAGTGTAAATTATTTAACAAGCCAGTGCTTTATGTTACCCATTTAATTAGGTAACTTATTTATGTAGTTAAAAAATCCTAATTAACTTAATTAGGTAGCATAATTATTAATTGTTATTACTAGGGGTGTTCACGGGTCGGGTCGGGTTGGTTTCATGGGATTTTCCCAACCGACCCGACCTAGTCGGGTTACCAGAGGTGGGAACTGAAACCGACCCACTGATAGGCCAAATCGATCTGGTCGGTTTGAGTCGGGTTGGGTCGGTTTGGGCCGGTTTCGGTTTTGCTCCTGTACAAAGCCGAATAAACTCTGAATTAGTTGAGGACTTGAGTTGAGGGGGGCGGACCAACCAAGTTAAGTTAGAGAATAGAAGATTTTAAGAGAAGACAAAAGTGGAATTAGAAGACTAGTAGGAAACTAGGAATTCTAATTGTAATTGCCTAATCTAGGTAAAAAACTAAAAAAGGACACCTAATTAATTGAATTCTAATTGTAATTGCCTAATCTAGGTAAAAAACTAAAAAAGGACACCTAATTAATTGAATTCTAATTGTAATTGCCTAATCTAGGTAAAAAACTAAAAAAGGACACCTAATTAATTGAATTCTAATTGTAATTGCCTAATCTAGGTAAAAAACTAAAAAAAGACACCTAATTAATTGAATTCTAATTGTAATTGCCTAATCTAGGTAAAAAACTAAAAAATGATATCTAATTAATTGAATTCTAATTGTAATTGCCTAATGGGCCTTCTATTTCTAATAGAAGTCTAGAAGACTAGTAGGACTAAGGAAACTACTCAAACTAGGAAGTAGGAACTACCAAACTAGTAGAAGAAAGACTAGTTCGGTTCGGGTTGGGTCGGTTTCAGTTTTCTTATGTCAAAACCGAAACCGACCCAAAATATCGGTTTTTGTATGTGCCCAACCTGAAACCGACCAGTACGAATGAAAACCCGGCCGACTCGGATTGGGTCGGTCCGGGTTGGTCGGTTTGGTCGGGTTGGGCATTCTTATGAACAGCCCTAGTTATTACTAATAAAGCTATAAAAGTAATAATTTTAATACATTTAAGTCATATTTAAAATTATAAAAATCAAATTAAATTTGTTTATAATAATAATAATGATAATTTTTATTAATTAAAAGTCCAATTAAAGTACTAATATTATAAATAGAATTAAGTTGTAATAAAATTAGTTTTATAAATAAAGTTAATTAAAAATATTAATCTTATAAAATTAATTTTACTATGAAAAATTTATTAATTTTAAAACTAATTTTTATTAATATAGATTATGTTTAAAATAATTACATTAATAAAGCTTTAAAGTAAGCCCATAGCCTAACCTGACCCATGACCACATCTAATTAAGAATATCATAGGGCTCCTTTTACCTCATTTTCTCTCAAAATGGTCTATACATAATAAATATAAAAGAAAAAAATGTCAACCCAATAACCCATAAACCAATTTCAAACTTAAATTAATAGCTCTTGAGTTTTCAAAATGTGTCACAAATAATACAATTGAAAGACTACGATACGTGTTGGGTTGGTATCAAGTTGAACCCTATAGGGTTGGGTAGGTTGACACGGGTTTGACTCAACCTACCCAACCCTCCCATGCTTCCACTCAAACCCAACCCATCCCGACTCAATATTATACAGTTTCTAAACCTGCCTCACTCGGCCTGTAGGATTCAACTCGGTATCAACTCAACCCGTCCCATTGTCTTTCAATTGTATTCTTGTGATACTTTTTGAAAACTCAAGAGCCATTAATTTAAGTTGGAAATTGGTTTATAGGTTCTAAGGTATCACTTCTCCAAAGTGAAAGAAAAAAGTGAAAAATATCATATACTTTAAGGTTAGAGGTTAGAAGTTAGATCAAATTATAAGAATACCCTTTATATGCGTAGGGGTATTATGACCTGATGGGCGGAGGAGGCAAACCTGAATCCGATTTGGGTTAAATAATCAAAACTCTAATCTAACTAGGGGTGTTCATAAAAAACCGAAAAACTGAACCGCAAAATGCGGTTAACCGAATCGATCGGTTCAGTTTTGGTTCGAGATTTTTGAAAAACCAAAGGAGCGGTTCGGTTTTCGGTTAACCTACAAAAAATCGACAATTAACCGAACCAATTGGTATATATTTTTAATATATGTCACATATTTTCTATGTAATTTATATAAATATATATATATATATATATTCATTATATATATAAATATATACTTATATTATATTTATAATGACCTATTTATAAATATATTATATATATTATATATTTTTCAAATATTTATAATATATTATATATCATTTATTATATAATATTATACATATATTTGTATAATATATATTATAAATATAAAAAACCGAATAACCGAATCGGTCAAAAACCGAAACCGGTGGTATCGGTTCGGTTTCAGTTTGGAGAATTGGAAATACCAGTATCACCAGTTCGGTTTAAAAAAAAGTGCCATAGTTTGATTAACCGAACCGTAGACACCCCTAAATCTAACCCAACGCCCGTTTTAAGTTAAAACAATCATTGAAAGAAATCATAAACTTTAAGGTTGGGGGTTAGAATTTAGACCAAATTATAAGAATACCCTTTATATGTGTAGAGATATTATGACCCAATAAACCATGTTAGTTAAAATTGCACACGATTTGGGTTAAATAATCAAAACTCTAACCTCACCCTACACCCTAATAAACCCTAATAAGTCTGACCCTAAATTGATCATGTAGGGGTGAGTCAAGTTGAATTTATCATTTAACTTGACCCCTTGACATCCCTATAAGAGATTAGCCACTCTCACTACGGCTTCATTTTGGATTGTAGTCAGAACAACTAAACATAACTCAAAAATATAATACATGAGTCATTGGTTTGGATTAAATTGGCTCATCAATTATAAATGTCATGAGGCTCTTTCTATTTTAACTTTGCATACATTATACGGGTCCCGCAACCATGTGCAGTCACTGCTTTGCGTTCTCTCCAAGGTAGAAAAAGCTGTACAAGTCTATCATGATGAAGAATACAGATCCAGAACATGGCACTTCCCTTCCTACAACCTCACTCTCTCAGTGATTTGGTCACCTTTCCTTGTAAAAGATGCCATTTCTGAAGACATTAACGGAATCTCAACATCTGAAGTACAGCTTTATCTCGACAAACTTGGAAAGAATTGGACAGACCAATACCAAAGTCTAGATCACATGATAATTTCTGGAGGACAATGGTTCCTCAAGTCTGCGGTCAACCATGAGAATAACACTATTGTGGGTTGCCACTACTGCTCAGACAAGAGCTTAACTGAGCTTGGATTCGGCTATGCTTATCGCAAAGCCCTTCATCTGGTACCTACTTAACCATATTAATTGCAACATCCAATCACAAGGGGCTGATTTTGTTCAGGACTTCAACACAAGATCATTTAATTTTGAGAATGGAGAATGGCACAATGGTGGGACTTGCGATAGGAAGAGACCATTTAAAAAAGGGGAGATTGAAGCAAAATTGGCAGAAGAGATTGAGTTAGATGAATTTGCAAAAGCAGAGAGCATAGCATCTGAAAATGGGGTGAAACTGAAACTTTTTGACATAACCCAGCTTTGTTTATTAAGGCCTGATGGGCACCAAGGTCCATACCGACATTTCCAGCCATTTGCAGTGGATAAAAATGCAGAAGTTCAATATGACTGCCTTCAATGGTGTTTTTCTGGGTCCATAGACTCCTGGAACGATTTATTGATGGAATTGGTTGTAAATGGCTGAAACCCTTCTGGGTTCTTCTGAATAAAACATTGTTATTATTTCCTTGACATCTAAGGGGATTTTGAGGTCTTCGGATCGCGATTATTGGAGAGATTGGAGGGGTTGATTCTGCCTTGCCTTGTCGTGTATCACCCTATATTTCTTTCCAAATGTCTGTCTCTTTGTATGGGTGGGATATGACCACCATCCGTTGTCGAGTCGGGCCGATGACTAGTCTTTCTTTGTGTGTATTGTCTTTTCCTTTGGGCCTTCGTGGGGTTGGGGATGGAGCTGGAATTGCATTCTGAACTGGAATGAAGGTAGCCATAGCATTTGGAATGAAAATTGTAATCTACAAAAAATCAAACTTTAGGTACATAGTGATGAATATAATGGCAATGATTGCATCAATGTTGGTGACGATTCAGGTTTGAGAATAAAAAATACCAGCAATACTCTTTGTTCACTTTGACTCCAACCCATTAATTCTTAAAAATGTTTTTTATGTGCCTGACATCACTAACTTATTATTAGTATTTTATCATTTCATTTAGAGCTGTTCACAAGGAGAACCAAACCGAGCAAATAGGACGAACCCAATTCGATTTCGTCAG